ATGTTCTGTTATATTATTATTATTACATAGTTAAATTTAAATCCCTTGTATAAAATACTCAATTATTTCATTTTAAAATACTATCTCAAGTTTTCAGTTGCACGGAACGCTTTCCCCATTAATATTCCGACCAACACGTAATGTTTGCCTATCTGCGTTCTTCTCGTTTTGAGTCTGATAAGGTGGAACTATTGCGTAGCTTATCAATTTCGTGGTCGTATAGGAGAGTTCCTTCACCTCTTCCATGTTGCTTGACACACATGGCAGGAAAACAAATAAATATTTGCTCAATGGCGCTATAGTTGGTGGTATTCCAGTGCGTGTTATTGCTGTCTGTTGACCCACAATAAATGAGGGATCGGGTATTCGCCGGCACAAGCCAAACGGGCTTCCAATAATAAACAGACACGGAGAACTTGAGGGCAGACCCACTCCCTTATCCTCAGTTTGGTTTGTTTACATATATAATTTTTGTTTTCATTTCATTCGATGCGGGTCACGCTTTTGTACAATAATACGAAAAAGCCATAAACAGAAAACGCAACGATGAGATAAATCGAAATCGGGTACCAATTTCCCGTGGCTTGTGATTAATAACTAATAATTATATAACTAAAAGTGAGTACTTCCTATTATAAATAGACTCTTAAACTCATAAATATTGTTAGCTGAAAAGTCAAACTATAATTTTCCTAAGCAATAGCCCATATATCAAATTATTTTTTTTGCGTACTAAAACTTAAGCATGACATTCGATCATTCGACTTCTTAAGAAAAACTGAACGAAAGCAAGTGTAACATTGCATTGAATTAGTTCTATGTATGTGTTAAAACTAAACTTAATAGACTTAAAAAATGTATTACTTTTAAGTTCAGTCCGTAAACAAGTTAAAAAACAATAAAATATATTTATTTCAATTGAGTATATTTCCTTTATACCACACAATGAACAAATTTCTCATAGAAATGTCTATCGTAGGCAACGCTACCAATTTGCAAACTTAATTTGATACTTCAAGTCCAATAACCGGCTTTCAGCGGACTGTCAATAAATCAACGGGCATGTTCAACAAACTTTTCACACTCCATAGAGCAACTTTCATCTAACATTAAAACATTTCAACACACAATCGAGCTGCCAAAAGAATAATGCCATAATCTAACTTTATATCATGACAGAAATCGGAAAAATAATCTCTCAACAGACAAAACGAATGGCAATCGATATTTTTCGCTTAACGGCTTACATATCAAACAATTTGTGCTCGCCTCCTCTTGATTTACATATCGAGCCGGGCTCCCAAACAAAAAGCTATAAAATATCAATTTATTGCTTTATAATTGAAGGCAATAAATGTTTGTAAAAGTAAAAACAACGACGAGCAACTTTGATGGCGTTTGCGGGTGTGAATCGAAAGGTGGGGACAAATGGGGTATCAGTCGAGCAGAGAAAGACAAACTGTAATGACATCAGTACGTCATTCAGCCAGTTGATCCATTGAACGCAATTCCATTGAATTGAATTCGAGTCAGCACACAATGTTTCTGTTTTGCTTGGTTTTTCAATTTGCAATAAATTTGCCTCGAAACTTAACCACATTGAAATAATCGGCAGAGAGCAAAAGATACAAACGTACGGAAAAAAAGGGGATTGCAAATTTTGTTTTATTGTATTGTATTCCAAGGTTATTTATTAAAAGTCTTTTGTCATAAACATTTGAAATAATTTGATTTTGCATGGTTGGGCATAATAACAAATTTTATGAATTGGTAATATTTTAAGCAATAACGCCCAATTTATAACGTAATCGATTTGAAATTGGTTTTTACTAGATATTTTTGTTTATCAATTAATTAAAAAAATTATTTTTAAGAAATCAGAAATCGAATTTAGTCTTAACTCGATGAATCGTTCAAATGATTTACATAACAAGCCAAAATATTTATTTACTGTAATGTTGTAAAAAAAGTTTTGAAAACTTTGCCAAAAGAAAAGCAATAAATATGATGCAAGTTCTTGTGTTCTGCCTTAAATTTGGTTGAAATGTTTGTTTACCATTGCCAAGTGGAACAGTTGATAAAATAACAACCTTCAACTACGGTAGCGGCAGACAAAACTTTAGGTGGACCAGCTATGAAAGATTTTTCCGGGGAAAACAATTTGCAAACAACTTTGGCAAAACAAACACCGCAAAACGATGCTGCCTAATAGCAGGCATTGGGCCACTTGTTATTCGGGTGATTATGGCAAAGTGGGGATGGTCATCAGCAAATATTCAGAAATACACTTCCCGGTAAACAAAAAGAAATGCTAAAACTGCACTTCCAATTGCATCTGGAGAGGCCTTGCGGGGGAACTCCAAAGAAATTGCAGTAATTGACACTGAAAATGTGGCCGCCGCTCGGAGTTGGAAAATGTTGACGGCTACGATGATGCTGCTGTTCAAAGCTGATGATGCTGCAGTCTCAGGCATAGCAAAAATTATTTAATTGCACAAGACCAGTGGCTTAGTTGGAAGGGGTTAAGCCAAAAAGATGATTAATGACTCTGAAGAAGATTAATTTTGGTTCATACACTAAGGTTAGCAACAAAAGTATCATTTTTGTAGTTTATAGTTTTAGAATTTAATATTTTTCCAGTTTTAATTAAGAAATTTTCCCAAAAAGGAATATGAAAAATATGTGAATGTTTCTTAAAATGTTTGTTTTGGAAGCAATTAGTTTGAATTTGAATCAATTAAGAAGTTAAGGTGATGAAATAATAAGAAACTTACTAAGAGGTGGTTTTCTAAGGTATCTAAAGAGTTACCTATATATTTAAAAATTGTAATACTAAATGTTTTTAGAATTTAATTTGTTTAGTTTCTTATAATACCCCATTAAATCTACGCTCCAGTCATCCCATCATAGGCATTCTCAATTGTGGCATTTCCATTTGCTTTTGCCCAGCTCCGACACTTGGGAAAGTGTGTAGTTAATGAATGCAAAGAGTCTAAAGCTCAATTAATGAAATTTCATTTAATTATCAGCGGGAGGCAGTCGAAATTGGCTTGGGAGGGGACAAGTGGTCCCCGCCGAGTATTCCCACAGAATTTGCCTTCTCTGTTGAATGGCTGGCGGCAATCGTACGTGTGGCATAGTCAGGGCCCATTAGAACTAGGCTCAATTTTGCCTGGTCCTTTGCCTTGGCGCCCATTTTACAGTTGGGCTCATTTGTGGGTCACATGCAACAGTTTGTCGTAACCCGTAACTCGTAACTCGTAGCCAAGCGGCAGCATCGTGACTTGCCACATCGATCAATATTGTGTGCTGCGTTAGACCCGCTTGGCAATTAGTCTTCGGGGAGGCACTGGTCGTCCTTCATTTATATGGCAATTAAATTCCGCATTGAGAGCGGGTGCGGCGATATCTTGAGTGCCTCCTTGCCTCTTTGCCGGAGGCGAGCAATTCCTACTTGCCACACAGAATGAGATGAGTTATGTCCTCCGAAATGGAATGTGTTTCTCTTTGAATTGGTAATGAGATATTTCAGTAGGAAAATTGCAAGTTCTAGGACGAGAATATAAACAAGGCTGAGTTATCTCATGAACTATATAATTCATAAAAGCGTTTCTGGATAGCAGCTATAATTAAACAAGATTTATTCAAGTTTTAACTTATTTCGGATCAGAACAGTTTTTATTGAGACGTTAAAAAATTGAAGTGACTCTTTAACTGCATTAATAAAAATGGCATTATATATTACAAATTTATAAGTATATTTTAATTGAGAAAATTCTATCAAATTAAACCAAATACTTTAATATCACTTAAGGCAAATACTTACAATTTAAATGCATTTCAAGTCCGTGGGGCAAACGCTTACATAAGTTGTTGAGTTAAGCTTAAATCGCACACACTTTGGATGTTTGCCTCATCACCTCGTCTAAAACCGATTAGAACAAGTTAATTACAGTAATCGGCTCAGAAAGTTGTTGAAAAGCGTGACACAGTTGAGTTTTTTTTGTGCATTTCGTGAGTTGTCAAGTTTTCCAAAGCCCAGTTCACCTGTCAATTTGCATACAACGTGGAAAAGGCCAAGTCAAATCAAGTCCAATATTGCAGTAATTACTTACGCCGAAAAGAACAAAAATCGATCAGTAATTACACGCAAGCCGCTGCCAATTCATTTAATTGTCTGCCCGAGCCGGCCATCATTCAGATTCTTCTTCTAAGGAGCGATGCAAATTGCTTATGGTCAGAGTGAGCTGCGGTTTCACACAAAACTGACAAATGACGCAGACAAGAAGGTGGAATATAATAACTCTGTACACTAGAAAAATATACACATGCCAGAATAGCCAATTGAATTCTTTTAATATTTAATAAAATAAATAGATTTATTAACCTGCATTTCTTGTCCTTTTTGGTTTAAAATGTAACTTAACAAATATTGAATATTATTAAAATGTCTCGAGAAAGGTGAATGAACCTTTGTAAAGCTAAACATTAACGAATTTATCTGTCAAGGTAAATGTGTAGCTAGAAAACTTTAAAGGTAATTGATTGCAGACACTTTATTTTAATGAAGTCAAGCTACAGATTCTCGATTGAATTTATTTTGTGTAAAATGATAAAATGCATATAGAATGCCTTTATATTTTTCCCTGTGTAATTCTTGCTCAAGTCTCTCCACTCTCAACGATCGAGTCGGAAAACTGCAAGCGACGTCTCTGCTAATTGATTTCGAGCGAGTGATTTGGCACGTTTGGTTGCAGTTCATTAGCAAACTCGGCCTGCGCTGAGTTGCGTTTTGGGTTGGGCCCTTGCGATAGACAAGACTTGGTCTGAATTCCGACTTGGCGTTCCAAAGACTCTTTTGGGTTGGGTCTGGCTATGGCCTACAATCTACAACTGAAGTCAGCCGACTTGGCGCGAGGTTAACTAAAGAAAGTTGGCAACTATTTTGGCACTAAAGGATCTAACCATTTCCTTTTCTCTTGCTTTTTTATTTGCCCTAGATGAGCGACAGCACATACAGAAGAAAACATTCACGAAATGGATCAATTCACATCTCATCGATACCCAGTGCACGCCAGTGAAGGATTTGTTTTTGGACCTCCGGGATGGACATCGATTGTTGGCCCTCCTGAGCACCTTGACACAAACGCAACTGGTTAGTATAGATCACTCATGGTTAATATTTAAGATGAGTTTAAGTTTTATATGAAATTTTGTGATATTGTTGTGAAAATGCAACCCCTTTATCTATGCTCCTATGAAATCAAAATATATTTTTTCCCTTTTTAGTATAATACTTTAAAGTAATAAGCTTTTTTTTGCTAATACAGAGTTATATATATATATTGTGTGATAACACTGAAATAACACTTAGTACATTCAAAACCTCTTGGTAATGTTCTTATATTTTGTTTTATGACCTCTAGAAATAATTAAGTTTTTATAATTTGACTATATTTATACCCTTGCAGAGCAAAAGGGTATTATAATTTCAGTCAGAAGTTTGCAACGCAGTGAAGGAGACACCTCAGACCCCATAAAGTATATATATTCTTGATCAGCATCACCATCTGAATCGAAATATGTATGTACGTCTGTCCGTCTGTCCGTCTGTCCGTCTGTCCGTCTGTCCGTCTGTCCGTCTGTCCGTTTCCGCGCAAACTAGTCTCTCAGTTTTAAAGCTATCGTGCTGAAACTTTCCCAAAAGTTGTATAGTTGTTGCACGCAGTATATAAGTCGGAACGGGCCGGATCGGCCGACTATATCGGATAGCTCCAATACAAGAGAATGAAATTAAAAATTCTCACTCTGTTGTTTTTGATCAGATCGACTTGAATTCTTCAAGATGGCGTTTTCTAACTGTTATTGAATTTCGGATTAAATTTGAACAAAATCGGATAACTCTATCATATAGCTGCCATAGGACAGATCAAAAAATATATATAGAATTAATGGAAATAAATTGATAGCATCGTTGTTTTTTATCCCACGAGCATGATTTTTTGAATATCAAGTTTTTTAACAACCCTTATATTGAGAAAAAAGTTTCATAAAAATCGGACAACTATATCTTATAGGTGCCATAGGAAAGATCGAAAAATCTATATAGAAATAACGGAAATAAAATTATAACATCGTTGGTTTTTATTTGATAAGCATGATTTTTGAAATTTAAAGTTTTCTAACGACTCTTCAATTACGAATTAAATTTGATGAAAATCGGACAACTATATCATATAGCTCCCATATGATCTATAGTCGAAAATATGAAAAATGAATAGAAAAATCGTCTTAGCTTCGATGTTGTTTAGCGTTTATGTATTTTTTTCGCCATATTTGATGACTGCAAGGGTATATAAGCTTCGGCTTGCCGAAGCTAGCTTCCTTTCTTGTTTTTTAATCCCTTTAGAAACCCGAAAAGGGTCGAATGCGAGTGCACCACATCAACAACCTGAACAAGGTGATCAACGTGATCCAGCAGCACGGCGTCAAACTGGTGAACATTTCCAGCGATGACATAGTGGGTGGAAATGCCAAGCTGACCCTGGGCCTCATCTGGCTGATAGCACTAGAGTTCAACGGGCAGCATCTAGTCAAGAGTCACTCGAGCAATGGAGTGGAGAAGTCCTTGCTGGCTTGGGCACGTCAGTACACGGAACCACATGGCCTGCAGCTCAATGATTTCTCCAGTTCGTGGTCCGATGGTCGAGCTTTCCTTGTGATCCTGGATGCCCATGTTGAGGAGCTCAATCTGCAGGTGTCCTTGCAGCAACATGCGTTGCAGAGACTTCACTTGGCCTTTGATTTGGCACACAGACATTTTAAAATCGAAAAGCTGCTGGATCCCGAGGATGTGCACACCCACAAGCCTGATAATAAGTCCATTCAGATGTATGTGATGTGTCTTTATCACGCCATGGAATCAATGAGGGCAAGGGAGCAGGATCAGGAGCAGGAACAGGATCAGGATCCAAGTAGGGTACCCTGCACCAGCATCACGGATTTGGATGAAGTGCCACTGGACAACGATCGTGCCAGTTTGGGACTCTATACTTCAGATAGTGCTGGCAGCATGGAGCAGAGATCATCGGGGGAACTAAAAACCCACTCCATGAGACCCCTGAGTACAGCTACCAATGCCAGCGTGGAAATCAGTGGCTACCAAACCGCTCTCGAGGCAGTTCTCACCCTCCTCCTGGAAGATGAACAGCTGCTCTCGCAGGATGTGCCCGATCCGCAGGATTTCCAAACAGCCAAGCTGCAGTTTCACGAAAACGAAAGCTTTATGCTGAAGCTTACCGAACACCAGGAGTACGTGGGAGAAGCTCTGGAGGAGGGAAGCAACCTCATTAACGAGTCCCAGAAGGCGGGAGCTGGCTTGAGTCAGGAGGACCAAAACGAAGTGAGGCAACAGATGGTGTTGCTGAACGAACGTTGGGAAACCTTAAGGCTTCGAGCTCTGGATGTCCAAGCGAAGATCCTAATGCGATTGGCTGAGTTTCAGAAGCAAAAACTGGAACAACTTAGGCAGTTTCTTACCAGCGTTGAGGATCGTATCTCCCACATGAGTGATATAGGACCAACTCTCGGCGAAGCGGAAAAGCAACTCCTCGAAGCTCGAAAACTTAAAGCGGACTTAAGTGAGCAACAGGAATTGGTGGATAGCCTTAGTAGTATGGTGGTTATTGTGAATGATACCTCTGGCAATTTTAATGATCTGGAAGATCGATTGAGTGCCTTGGGCGAGAGGTGGTCGCATGTCGTTAAGTGGAGCGATCTGCGAACCGAGAAACTGCAGCAGTATAAGTGTATCTCCAGATGGTTGGATGCCCGCGAGCAGGATCTCAAGTTGATGGAGAGCAGGGATGTCACGGATGTCGGCGGAATTACCCAGCGTATTAACGAGTTGAACTACTGTGCCAAGGATCTGTTGGAGCTGCAGAGATATCTGATAGATTTGCGACAAATGGTGGCTGCCACTCTACAAGACGGTGATGATAAAGGAGAGAGAGTTTTGATGCAATTGGAAAGCTACGAAGATCGCTTGGATGCACTGAAACAGATAGTTGAAGTGCAAACCCTTCGAATCGAAACTAAGGGCTTTAACTTTGGAAGAGATCGTGCCAGTTACGATGATAGTAGAGTGGTTCGACCCGAAGGTTGGGTGGATTACCAGATGATCATTCGTTTTGGGGAAGAAGATTCTCAGGAAGAAGATGAGGAACATGATTTGGCTAGCAAAAAGAGGAAGCTGAGGAATGCTGATAACTTCTATTCCCTCGAAAATCAGATCATGGAGCACTTTGGTTATGTTCAGGAAGTTGAGCAAAAGTTGCAGCAGTTGCAGAGACAAAGTCTGCGACAGCAGTGTGAATTACTCAAGGAACTTCAAGTGGAAAATAACCGAAAAAGTGGTACTTTACCCGAGCTGAAGAAACTCTACGAAGTCTGTGAGCTGGAGGATCCTTCGAGGAATCTTCTCCTGGAAGCAACACACATCAAGCAATTGGAGCAACGATATGCAACTTTGGCTCAAAAACTAACAAGCCAACAGAGTGAAAGCAACACGCTGTTGGCCAAGGAAAAGTATTACAACAGTCTGACTGGATTTAAATTAGTTCTGGCGGATTCTAGAGATTGGTATAAACAGCACGCTGGTTCTGCCAGTGGCAAAGAACTGGAACAGCGTTTAAGCCACATGGAATCCCTGGCTTCTGAGATTGCTGAGGCCAAATTAGCCACCGAAGAGCTGGATGATCAGTTGATAGAATGGAAGCAGGATTTCGGTTTATTTTACGACAGTTGGCATGACATGAAGCAGGCCCTTCAGGCGCTAATTCAACAGAGAGGCGGCGAGAGTCTTTCCAGGCAATTGAAACAGCTCCAAGATTTTGTGGCCAAAGTGTCCAATCAAAAGGTACGCGTTTCCAATCTGGAGGTCATGCAAAAGCAGCAGTATTTGCTTAACCAATTGCTAGACGAACTGGAGACCCTTCGACCAACTTATGATAATTTGCCAAAGCACCTGATTGGCGAGGAGCTGCAAACCACTTGGAACAGATTGCCTGAGCAGCTAAACGAGCGTGTGATTAAGCAAACCACAGCAATAGAAAATCTAAACCACTTTGCCGCTGAATACAACTCAATTATAGCCGTTTTGCGAAGTGCAGCAGACAGCAAGTTGAATGGAAGTGAAAGTGGCAGCAGTCAAGATCTGCGGAAACTGGAGATCGATGTGATAAGTGCTCGGAATTTCAGCGAGATCCTTATCAAGGAGGCGGAACCAGCTCAAAAGGAATCCCTACAAGCGCAGATTAGAGCCCTGAATACTTTGTACGATCAAGTGGAACAGGTTCATCGGGAGAAGAAGCTTCAGCAGACGGCGATCCAAAGCCAAATTGATCTCATCCAGCAGAGACTCAAGAAAACCGATCAATGGCTCACCGATTTGGAGAGCAATACACCCAAGTCGGGGATCAGTGATATTGGCAACTCAAATGAGTTATTCCAGAGCAAATGTCGCTTCCAAACTCTCAAGGAAACCTGCGAAAGGGAAACCACACAGTTCAGGGAACTCAACGAGCTGGGCGGGGAGTTGCTCCTCCAAATGGATGAGCTGCAGGACAAGGACAGGGAATCCCAGTATGGATCACTGGCCAAGCAGTTCACACGCATCAATGCCAGATGGACAGAGGTCACCGAGCTGGTTTATGCGAAGACAGCGCTACTCGAGCACATATCAACGCAGCTGGGGGAGTTCAAGAAGTTCATGGTTAGCGAGACGGGTTACCTCGACAAGTTGGAGAACAAGATACGCAACACGCCAGAGAATGCGGCAGACGCCGAGGAGATCATGGAGGAACTTGATGTTGGTTTATTTATTTATTGCATGTTTACTCCCATTAATGTTGTATTTTCTTCAGGATCTGGAGAATGTTCTGCGCTCGCATTCTGAGGAATGGCTGGAGAAGATTCAGGAAATTGGCAACGAGCTAATTGACAACGAATTCATGGCCAACTCCATGCGACGGGACATCGACGACATCGTCCAGCGGTGGACGCAGCTCCAGCAGCAGGCCAAGAAGCGCACTGAGCTGTTGGAGCAGAAGGTCAGCGAGGCGGAGCAGTCCGAGAAGTGCATCGTGCAGTTCGAGGCGTGGCTCACCCGCGTCGACGAGATCCTCAGCGAGTATCTGGAAAAAGATGTGACCATCGAGGATCTGCCGGAGGATTTCCAAGTAAGAGGATAAACAAGTTCCCAGATTTAAAAAATGTTTTCAATAATATTTGATGAGTTTCAAACCTAAAATAAGTTTAGTTCCAAAATTAAGAGTATAAGTTTACTTTAAAATAAACTTCGTAACTTGTTCTAAGATGTACAAATTTTTACATTTAACTATATTTTTTGCTTTTTGTAACAGCGTTTGGCTCGCGAATTTGTGGCCAACGAGAAAAACTTCAAGGAGATCACCGAACTTATTGACGAGCACACTAGAAACGGCAAGATTGGAGCAGCCAATCGCCTTCAGGAGCAGCTAAACTTGATGGAATTGAGGTTCAAGGCCTGTCAGGCAAAACTAAGCAAGTGCACAGCTCCCCAACCTGCATATGAATCGCGTTTGAACAGAGCCTATGGAGATCTTCGGAATGTGGAGCGATCTACTTTGGTTTTGGATGTGGCATCTGCAGGACCCAATACCGTACAAGCTCAGTATCAAAAGTGTCTTGTTAGTATATTGCTGAATTTTAATTAACATATAGAAGTTCCTCATTCTAATTTATATTCTCCTGCAATCCACAGCAAATTTATCGCACGCTATCGGAGATCAAGGCGGAAATCGAGAGCACGATCAAAACCGGTCGCAGGGTTTGTGAGGACAGGTACACGAAGTCCCCGAAGCAGCTGAGCCAGCGGATCGATGCATTGAAACATCTGTATAATGCCCTCGGCGAGAATGTGACCCAGTCAAAGGCGTTCCTCGAAAGTCTGCTCACATTAGCGAGGCAATTGGAAGATTGCTTCGATTCGGCAGATACTCTGATTCGACGCTTCGAGTCGCCGCAGGAGGTGCACGATAGGAACTCCATTCTCCTGGAGTTCGAGGATGTGCTGCGGAGGTGCGAGGACCACTACAACGAGTACAGCAAGTCCTGCGACCAAAGCTGCATGGTGGAGACCCGCCAAAGAATCGATGGGTTGAAGGCCACCTACCACAAGTTGACGAGTGCGGATATTATCAAGAGGCTTACGGAGATGAAAGCCACTCTGCAGAACCTGGACAACATTTCCCTGGAGACTCTTAAGTAGGTTTGAATGTTAGAAAAATCTAAAAGAGGGTTGGAATTGCAAAAAGAAAATGTGACAAAATAGTTTTCTATTGGTAACCTAGCTTAGCAATCTATTGAGCTCTCATGTGTTCAGGATACAGTAACCCTTAATCTATTTTTTCACCTACTAATTGCAATCTTTTTGCAGGGCAATGGAGCACGACCTGAAGGAGATAAATGTGCCCTCGAATCCGGAAATTGAGAAATTGCAGCAGCAAGTAATTGCAATTGTCGTGGTGAGTCGGAACAAGCAAACAAATCCTCTTAATTACGCAAAGCTCCCTCTTCCGCATTCCGAAGTCCTTCCACCTGTACATAATTATATGCTCAATCCTATCATTTTTTTCTCTGCTTGCTATCGGGCTCCAGTTCTTGCTTTTCATTCGTTTTGTGTGCTTATTTGCTTACCTCACATTTCGCTTTTACATCGGAGACGCCTCTCATCTCACTCATTCCCATTGACGTCGCCATTCTTTTCGGACACCTTTTGGCCTGGCTCAAAGTAAATGGAAATGGGTTTCCACTTCCCTGTGCCTTTACTCCTTCTGTTTCACATCATTGGTTCGACATCATTTGATTTATCGGAATGTACAGCTTGATTTAATGCGGAATGATTTAAAATTTAAATCGTAGTCAGCAAAGGAAAATGGGTTGGGAATTAGATTTCTAAAAATAAAGAGGGTTAAAATAAATTGGCTTAACTTATAACAATTTTGTCGCCATCGGGAAAAGTTTTGAACACGGCTGGTGCAAATTATATTTCGTTTCCAAAACTAAGTTTAAAATTTAACTAAAAAAGCGTCGAATCATATTTTATTGTTAGATATTTAGAGTTTAAATTTGATTTAACAACATCTCATATAAAATTTACTTAACAAATTAAATTGCGTACATCAACTTAACAGTACATCCATCAAATTAAAAATTGTTCTTCTGAAGTTATTTGACTATCAACAATTTATTAACTTGTCAAATATTCTTAAGGGGGGGGTAAGGTTTTAAAGGCCAAAAAAAGGGCCATGTTTGATTTTTTTTGCAGCGAAGTGAGTAAGTTTATTTTATTGAGCTTAATTACATGTTATTGTTTAACTTTTGAAGAGTATTAGAAAAAAAATTATTAAAAAATATTAAGAAATAAGCCTGTGGCGGTTAATCTTCCGAAGCGCCCAAAGAAAAAGTTGTTTTGCGGTGAACATCATAGGGCGTTAACGGATCATCTTAAAAATAAAATGTGATATGCGTTGTAAAGATAATGAATTTCCCGAGGTAATCAGGAAGAGTTTTTTTTAAATTTATTTTTTGTTCATTTTTGGGAGCACTTGAAAGTGAAAAGTGCGATTTTAGCTTAAAAAATCGCTGTTAATTTATTTTTTAAAAATAGAAAAAAATTAAAAATTAAAAAAAACTCTTCTTGATTACCTGCGTATTTATGTTGAGAATTTGTGTTAAAAATTTGAAAAGGATTGGTTCAGTAGATTTTGAGTTCTGATGTTCACCGACTTTCTAAATAGCGTCTTCGGCAAAATCGATTCAAAGTATTTTTATACGTGAAAATACGTCCAAATACGGTTGTTTAAAACGCTGTAACTCCGTTTGTTTGACTTTAATTGACTCAACATTTGTACACAATGTTCTCGACGTATTAGTCATTTAGAAAAAAATAAAAAAAAAAATGTAAAAAAAAAATTTTTAAAACCTTACCCCCCTCTAAATACTAAATGCCGATAAAATTTATAAAGTTTTTTTCCGTGATAAGCTGCTGCCACTTAAAAATCCGCTTCTATCTAATCGAATTTAATTTAACCCATTATTGATTTTAATTTGCCAATTTCATAAACCATCTCTCCACCAAAAGCTAATCCAGAACCAACAACATTTGCCAGTTTCGGTGAATGCCAACCATCAAATCTACCACATCACCCCAGTTAAAGAATAAACCATAACTATAAATATTAAATATAAAACCAGAAATCACCGTATCACTAGAGGGTCTAACTTTGGTGTCATTCTCACGCTTCCAATTTTTAATGTGTAGAGTTTTATACTTGATTCCCCCTCTAATTGTTGTTGTGGCGTTCGATTGTTGTTGTGGTTGTGGCTGCGTCAAATGTCCAAACCATCCCAAAAAAAACAACATAAAAACGTAATCCTTCCAATCCACCGCTCACCACCACCACCAAAAAAAAAAAAAGTAAAATATAAATCCACCAAAAAACCACCGCTCACCACCAACCAACGCTAATAAATGGCCACTGCTTTTTTAATGGAGACTAGTACCTAAATGTAAAAAAAACCCAAGTTTAAAGGCTTCCATGGGCTTACAGAAAAATCATTTCCATAGAGCTTTGTAATTTATACCAATCTATGCATTTATTGTGCAGGATGCTTTGAAATCGCGTTACAATGAAGCCACAACGCTTGCCGCGCGAAACTCGAATTCCCCGCAAAACGACGACACCGAAATAGTTGTTGTCAGCGATACGGTGCGTCAAAGGCGCGCCAGGACACCCCAGTCGGGTGAATCCCCCTCCCCCTCGTCCGCAAACACCAGTACCTCAGAGTCGCCGACAAAGGGCATGGAAAGTTCAACGGAGGCGGCTGGGGACCACGTTCTGCCGGATCTCCTGCCACCCCAAACATTCCGCCTGGCCGAGTCCAGTACACTGTTCTCACAGATTTCCCTTAATCCCGACAAAGTATCCAAAACTCCGCCTCCAAAACCGGCGAAAACCAAGCGAAAGGCCCCCACTTCGCCCGCCCAAGTTGTGGAGATAAAGGTGAAAAACATACAGAACGATAAAATGTCGGTGCAAAACATCGACTTGGAGCCACAGCAGGGCGAAATCGTGGACACTGTGAATATCCTGGAAAGTGTGGAGCCTTTCGTACCCGAATATGTGGAAACTGTGCAGATTGTGGATCTCTCAGAGGACTCCGATTCTTCGGTTAGAGTTGATAGCCAGGGAAAAGAGGTGCGACGATCGAAGAGCAAGCACTCCTTGAGCGATTCTCCACTCCCCAAAGTTTCGGATGATGAAGAAGATCCCGCGGAGGAGGATGTTCTGCGTCCCTCTTCTGGAAATACGAGCACTCCATTCTTGAGGGTTGAGAAACACCGAATCTCCTTCGATGAGAAACGCAAACGAGTCGCCAATGAGCGGGATATCCTACGTGATTCTGAAGAGGAGGAACCAAAAACTTCTGATTCTTCCCAAATCACGCAGGTTTCCAAACCGAAACGCTGGCGACAACTCCAGCCGGATTTGGAGGCTTTGGAACCCGAGTCACCCGGTCGCGATAGTTTCTATAGTCCCGACAAAGAATCCGGTTACGATGCCGAACCTCTCGTATTTTCCGACGATGAGGACATTCCGCGTTTCTCGCTGGAAATGACACCAACCTTTGACTCCGATAGTGATACGGTAATTTGGTTGTATACGTAGTGATATATTAGTTTACAGATTTAAAAAAGAATGATTCCTAAAATAAGTAATGTTTTTTACTATATCTACAGAGTCGCATTGAAACACCCTCGACCAAAAAACCCAACCCGTTCTTGAGCAAAGTACTTGACTCGATGCCTTCACCTGCTGATGACTCAAATGTAACACTCAAAAGTCCACTTAGTGAACAACAGCCCCAGAATCTGGATGATCGTGTCCGGGAGTTCGATAAGCAGGCCAAGCAAATGATCTACAAACTAAAACTTACCAAAGCCAAAATCGAACAGTGCCACGAAAGTGAAGCGTAAGTGTTTTAATTCATTGCATCTTATTTATAACGAATAAATTGTTATTAGTTATATATTATTAATATATATCAAGAAAGTTGCCAATTTAAAATAAAACGGAACAATACTTTAATTTTTATGAACCTTTGATATGTTCTTCAGGCGTTGATTGTTAATACAACCTTGAAAATTTCACACAAAGATGAGAGAAGCGGCAAATATTACGTCAGCTTTTTTCTATATTTCGTAATAAAAACGTATAATATAGCTTTCACAACAATATGACAAAAAAAAATTTGAAATTAAAATAATTTAAATAAGTATTCAATTTAATAATAATTTATATTGACAGGGAGGATCTCCGACTGTTAATAGCTCCCGATGCAGCCACCTTAATTTCCCAGGGAGACTCTTTGGTTCTGGAAACCCACGGAAAACAGGGTAGCATATCCCGCATGGTGATGCGCACTCAAATTATACTGCGAGAACAATTTCGGGAGGTCCAACAAGCCAAGTATGATCATTTTATTATATAAAGACCTATAAATTACTAAATTAATGTGATTGTTTTGCCATAGATCCAAGACCTCTGGAAACGGAGCTCCTGCTCCTCCGTTGGACAGCGTGAATATCGAGGAACTCGTCACCAAGGGACTGCGTCGCATCAATGTTCTGATTGAAAAAACTGTCGATCTGAAATCTAGCAGTGATCTTGAGAAACGTATGGAGGATATTAACGTAAGTACTCTGGCAACTGGCCAAAATTACCGTTGCCAACTTCTGGTCGGGGCCAAAATTGAAAGATTAATTACCTGTGCAAAACTACAATTAAATCATTTTTATTTAATCGTCGCAATTAGTCATTTACTTTGACGTTATTTTTAATGTTTCACGTCTATCGTCGATATTTGCCGCAAGTTAATTGCCCTCTTGAGAATTTCGATGCATACAGAAGCAGTGGCCACAATGGCTAAATGGGTCCATTAGAAGTCCCAAAAATAAACAAAACTGACACAGTTACACATCTGTGTGCAGTTGGGAGGGGAAATGTGGGGGATCCACAATTGATCATAGTATTTAGTGGGTCAAAAGAGAGAGATTCTAAGAGAATTTTCTCTCAAGCTGTTGCATTTAGTTGATGAAGCTGTCTGTTTTAAAGGGTTGGGCGATATGATGGTTGTCATGTTTTATTAAATTATGAATTTGTTTCTTCACAGTTTAATGATTTATGGAAACACGAAAAGTTTTAATGTAAAATGTCATTTTGAAAAGGAATTCCATTTATTTAAAGATTTCTGGGTTAATCGATTTGTACAAAAATTGTTTTTATTGTCGAGATATCTGATTTAATATCATTTTTTGGTTTATCGTTGGTTTTTATGGATTAACATAAAAAGTTTTAAGGTGCAAGTGGAAACTGTAAAATCAATGTATAAATCTGGAATATGTTTCTTTACCAAGCTTAAATGCAAAACAGTTTGTATAACTTTTTTTTGAGAAAGTTAAATTCAAAAGCTGACAGCAGTAAAAACGTAACTTTTTGCGCTTCGGGCTTTGCACCACATGATAAATTTAACGATTTCAACAAGTTCCATCCCTAGACATCAGAGTCATTAATCACTGCAATCATATGTTGTTTATTTTTATATTTTATTTATCCGTTTTTGGTTTGATTTTATGGCACCAGCGAGCATGGCGACAAACGCCACAGATTCTAAAAAAGCGAAAAATGAAATCAAAAATAGAAAACATTTTGTATTTTCTGAGCGGGGCAGAGGCTGAAAAAAAGAGAGCAACATTTTGGGGGAAAAAGTGGGGGAAAAGTGGGGAAAAACTAATTTCGAAGAGGGGCAAACATGTAAATTCCTCTCTTCGCCGGCGAAATGAGGTCTTTTGTTTTTATTTTCCTTCATTTTTGTTTGCACCACTTCAGTCGCGTACCGTCTCATTTGGACGGCGGTTGCAGAGCTTAAAAATCTTTTTTCTTTATATTTTGATGTGTGTACACATCTTTGTTGACCCGGTGATTGATTGTAAATTTGCGGAAAATTCTATTTGGCGCGAAGGGAAAATTCGGCCAAAAAACCGGACCATCAGCGTCAACTGCAACAGTTTGGCTCGCGCTTCATTGACGACCCGCAAATGCAATTTTGCTGGTTGACAAACGCCGTCACTGAGGTGGTAGGGTTATTCCGACCCGCTACTGCCACGCCCACCCACACGCCCTCTCCCAGCGCCCGCCTTCATTTGTTCTTTCCCGGAGAGAAAAGGTCCCTGCATGATTGCAGTTGAAATTGAATTCCAATCGCCGCTGGCACATCCTTTCCCAAGCGGTGGCCATTTTGTTCGACCGTGTATGTTTCTGTTCGGCTTCCGTTTCCGCTTGCATCCTGGCATTTTACCGTTCACCTTTCGCACCTCAAGAGTATCGAATGCATTTTATACCTGCTTTAGTATGTGTGTTCGTTTAACACTTAAAGGGAATTTCATTTTCGGTCGAGATTCAATTGAAATACATATGAAAATCTGTTCTTCTGTAAAACTTTAACTCCTGATCCTAAGCAAATATTTTCTATATCGATTTTAAGTGGTTCCAAATAAATAGAGATTGTTTTAAAACCAGATTAATTTTAAAATTGACTACCAATCTTTTAATTAAGTTCAACATGTATTCTCTTTAAGAATCATTACACAAGTAAACAAATGCTCCTTTAAAAGATTAAGTAATTTTAAAGTGTATAATCTCATAAGGTTTAGAGTTTCTTGTGGGCGTTATCTGGTTGATACAGATTGTTTAAAATATGTTTTCATTTTTATTGCAGGAACGGCACGACGATTTACAGGTGATTGTCAGCGCCATTGGCAAAAACGCTCAGATGCCGAAGGTCACGCCCCTCATGATGAACGAAATTGAAAAGGTTTGTCCACACCACACACTTTGCTTCTCCATTGAACTCTTCACAATGCCTTGCCCTTTCGCAGACGAAAAACAATTTGATAGCACATGCGGATTCCATTGAGCTCTCGTTGACGGAACTGAGAAATGGCCCCCGAATTTCCAATGGCAAGGAGCGCCCAGATGCATCCAGTGGCCCCGCCATCAGCTGTCGTCCGGGTAAGCTTGCCCACTCAATTGCTTCTAATAGTTTTTATTCTGGGCGCTCAGACAGATCGTATCCCGACCTAGGCCAATGGCTAACAATGTTCTTGTTGATTGCCAGCAAGTTAGATTGCCTTCAATTGTTTGGTTTACGCTCGAATTAACTGCTTAAATGTGGGCAAGCTGTCAAAGTTGTCGAGTGGACCAACTTAAGTTGTAAGGACTAATAGAGTGTGTTTATTCAAGTAAAAGTCAGCTTGTTGAATGCTTAGGAGTTTAAACATTTATTGAACAAATTAAAGGACAGTTACAATTTTATTTCAAATTATTCTTCACATTTTAATGCTGTAGTCCTGTAATTGAGTTAATGCAAAACTTTTCATTTGAAACGTTATTTAATTACAAAACATATTGTAGATTTCTGTGGATTGCCATTATTGGTTAGAGTGAGCAATGAATCGAATATGAATTTACGTTTTTTTTTTTCAATTAAAAATCAAATTAAAATTCTCGGGCTTTAGTGCTACACAAAAATGTTTCTATCATTGAAATCTAATAATCTTCCACATTCAGCTGCCGTTTCTATTTCGCTGGCAAATCATTTAAACATTAGCCAAACAAAAAAACTAAAGCGCGAATATCTGTAAAAGCAAAAACTCTTGAAACAGCACGTACAAGTTTTTATTTAGCTGCTCTGTAAATTTGAGTTTTGTTAGGGTTATAATTCTGTGCACTTTTATTTGAATCATGTATTGATTTACATTTTGAGGACGAAACTTCAACAAAAAACTGTTTCGTGTTCTGAAAAATCTGCTCTTAACATTTTGTGAAAAATCTCTCATACTTAATTAATGGGAAACACAAACTAATTATGTAGATATTCTTTTATTCCTGGAAAAAGATGAACCAGCGTCGAAATGTGCCATGTCAATAGCACTCTTGACATTTTATGTGAATGACACTTTACCTATTTTAATCAAAACTGTGCTATTTATTTAAATCATGTATTTATTTACATTTTGAGGTTCAATCTTAAAAAAAAACTGTTTCGGGTTCTGAAATCTCTCATCTTAAAAGATTGTGAATAATCTCTTGTACTTAATTAATGGGAAACATTATGTTGATATTCTTTCATTTCTGTACTTTTTATACTGCTTCCGTTCTTTGTTTATATTTTTATTTGAAAAAGGGCAACCAGCAACGAAATGTGCCATGTCAATGGCACTCTTGACATTTTATGTGAATGTTTTCGGTGTTGACTTACCCTTTGGGAAGTGGGAGGCTTTCCCCTGTGTTGTTGTCCCGGTTTCTTGTTTTCATAACAGATGCAGACATATGTTCTTCAGTATTTCGCATGCCAGCTAGAGGGCTTTCTTGTTTTGTAGCCCAAGTTGAAGAGTCTAGCGATTTGTATTGGAAAACTAACATTTTCTTTTACACTTATGTTGTAAACCTACGATCACTTAGTTCAGATAGTAAAAGACATTTGTTGCTGTATTATTTATATAGCCTAAACCTTCCAGTATTTATCTATGAAAAAGAAAGACATTGAGTTCAATTTTATAACATTTATAAGTTGACCAAAATTTTTATCAATACAATTTCCAAATGATCTTGAATTAATTTTCGCATCCCAAGGAAGTCTTACTGCTCTAGCTAGTTGAACTGTTGAAGGAAGAGGGTCTAGTTATCCTTCGGCAGCTCCACTAGCTAGTTAATGACACTCCCTTGGGATTATCGGGGCTGGCCGTTGCGCTTGGCTTGGAATGGGTCCTCGGATCCGTTACCGATACCCGATCAAAAGTTCGGGTCATAGTAACCTGATCGTGGGGGATCTTGATCAGACCCTGCGACTTCATGTACGTTTCGAGCTCCTCGTTGGCCTTCTTGGCAAGCTGCAGACTTTTGTCGACCACTTCGTGTTGCTGGGGTAAGGAGGCCATCATCACGTCGCTCATTTTCTTGGCATATTTCGTTATGGTGAATTCGCCTTTATTGAATAACCTTCGTCGTTCCGCGAAACTCATCTCAGGCTCCGGAGTTCCCGCACTGCCCGAACTTTCCAAAGCATTGTAGTCGATTTGAGTCAACCTCTTGCTGATCCTTTTGCTGACTAGCTCTCCTTCTGGGTTTTTCGGAGGAGGAATCCATTCCCTAACGACATCCGTCGCCAGAGCAACCCCCTTTTTGATCGGTTTTTGAGAAGTTTTGGGAGCACATAGGCTGTAATCCGACCGAAAGTTGTGCAGAGTGTTTATTTCGGTCAGCCTCTTGTTCAGCGAACTGGCATTTATTGCCATGCCCTTTTTGGGATGCGGGGTTCCGATGGAGAGCAATTGCTTTAAGTTATCCTTGGTTAGCGATGGTCGTTTGAAAACACTGACAGTCGGCTTTGAAAGAAAAACACATTAAGAACTTCATTATAAACTCAAAGCACTGGTATACCAAAAACCTGTTTTATCTTACTCCTTGAAAAAGGTAAAACAATTTAGAAACTGAATTAAAAAATACAAACACCACCATTTAAGCAGCAATACAATGTAATCTTATGTTGGCATGTTAACGCATTATAGCTTATTATTTGAAAAACGATCACCATTTCTTTTTCTCTTAATATTTTGAAAAAATCTTTATGGCTCTAAATGTAAAAGAAAACCTTGCAAAACCAAAATATAGTTTCTCTTTCTTTATTAAAAACATTACCTTTGATTTGTGGGTGACCTGTCGTTCACCATGGGAGTCCACTTCGCTGATACTGGGGCTTTCGTTCTTTTCCTTCTCGATAAAGCTGGAGAGCAGCGAGTGGTGTCTGCTCTCGAAATCACGACGCATTGTTAGGCGAGCCTTTAGCAAACTGGCATCCACGCCCTGATCGGCGCGAGGATATGGAGTCGATGACTTGTTGGTGGATCGCATTAGTCCATAGTCCCGAGTGGCGATGGGCAAAGGCGCCATGGGGGAGAACTTTAGCTTGCTCATTTTTTTAAATTGGCGTGAAAATACTTTCTTATTGGAACTACTTCTGTTCAATGAAGACTCCTCCAACGATCTCTTTACCTTTAGGGTCTTCTCTGGTAACTTGGGCATTACTTCCTGATTGATATTAGTGAACAAGGAACAAGTGTTTTTTATTTATTTTTTTTTCTTGTTCTGTGTGTTGTTCGTTAATTATTGTTTGTTTGTTTTTATGTGTAAGTCCCCACAAAACTGACAAATTTTAATAAGAGTATGGGATGGGTTAAATACTTTAATTTATAAAACCAAAATTTGCTAAGAATTAAAAAAATTAGGAGATAGAAAAGACCTTAACTTTTAAGCAATATTTGCTTAGCTTGACACAAGCTGTCTAACATAAACACATTTTTTAAGTCTTTTGGATTTCCGGCAGATGGCGCGCAGAAGAACATGTATTCGACATGTATAGTATGTAAAATACAGCCACAAAACACTTATTACTCATTTGAGAGAAAAAAACGTATTTAAAATATATTTTGAAGTTGAAAACAATTTAATTAAAATTAAAAAAAAATAGTCTGGGCAAATGTAACATAGAGGTTTTATTTTTTACACGAGTTTCCAAATGGGTTGGGGCTTCGGTATTTAGAACTCCCAAGCTTAACTCAAGTTTTTATTTTTCGTTCGTCCTGAACTTTTTCGTAGCTTTTCTTTTGGACCGTTTAATCAGCTGTTGGGCACAAACAAGGACACATTTGAAAATAAATCGTTCAGCGGTTAAGAAGCTAACAAGTCCCCAAAGTGGATGTAAAACCTTTTAAGCAATATCAATAATAATAATACATAATAAAATAATAAAATAATACAAATATATACATATTTGTCAAAAGTTGGAAAAAGTGGCCTTATTATATTTGTGAAACGTTAAATAAATGTTTAACCTCATGAAAATTGAAAAAGTTTTACGTATGATTTGAGTGCAAACTTAATAAATATAAAATTGCCTTAATGCAAAACTAATTAACTGAAGTCAACTATAAAACATGGAAAATGTGTATAAAATATAAACAATTAAATATAAGGTATGCTACTAAGCTACGAGATATACAAACAACAAACAAAACCCAACAAGGTCATCCATCACTTAAAATTAAAACTTTAAAGTGATTTTTTTCCGCCAAGATGTCACTTTGTTGTCTTAAAGTCTTTCTTGGACTTTCTCCAACACCAGGAAAAAAGGAAGACGCGGCTCTGTTGAGTGACAACTTAAAGGGAATTTGGGCAAGGAGACCAGAATTTTACGCTTTCTTTGGCTTTTAATGAATTATGACATTTTCCTGGTGGAGCCCGTTTGCTTTTAACGGTAGAAGTGGGCTCGTAGAAGAAGAAGAAAAATTGAGGGTCTGTTATCAGTGCTTTTCCTTTACTGTGTGTTTTATTATTTTTTTTTTGTTGTATTTTATAAGATATTTTCTACCATTTTGCACCTGTTCCGTGAATGCCACAACACAAAGCACTCGTCAAAGGAAAGGAGTGTGTGGATGCGAATGGAGCCTACCTGAAACATTCATCAGAATGAGTGAAAAGAAATTTTACACTTAACGTGTTCACTGCTACTTCACCGTGTTTTTTCCCCCACCATGTGTGGGGTTGTCAGCGGTGTTATTATTTCTTTCTGGTTTCCTTTTTTATTCCGTTCCAACAGAAAATAAATATACACTTTAAAAAATAAATGAAAAATGATAGGAAATTCATTACCCAACTAGCGTTCCTTATAAATTACACATACATATGTAATGCAACAAATACTTTATCATTTTGTAGTTCTGAGTTGAACAAAGCTTTACAAAAATTATTGGTACTTAATAAGTACCATATTCGAAAGAAAAATGTTAATCATTAATTTCAACATTTGCAATATTAAACAATTTTTTTTAGATTTTAAACATTAAAACTCTATTAACCACTTTTAACTTTCCATTTGAAGCGAAAGCGTTTAAAGTTTTTAAATGTTATGGGCTTTTTTGGTTATCAAGATTTTAGTTAGATTTTTCTGAGTGTATATATTTGCTTAACAGCTTCTTGTGTGCCTGTAACTCTCATTCATTCGGCCGCTCACTCACCCAAAATGCTTTCAGACGCCTCAACTTGACACGGACTGCGTTCCGTGTCCCATGTCCTGAAACCCGCTGGTGGCCAGCACGGGTTTAGCCGTCCTCCTTGGACTTGGCATTTGTCGCCCAAATCCCCTGTCCTTGTAGACCAGCCTAATCCGACGAGGGACACTGCGAAAACTACAAACCAAAACAGCAGGGGAAAAATCAACGTGTCCCTTTCTTTTTTCACTTTAGTTTGTTTTGGTTTTGTTTTCACGGATTATTGGCAAACTCAGGCCTGGAAAAACTTTCATAACTGTCAGAAGGACCTCCACTTCCTCCCACCTGCTCCTTTTGATTGTCTCCTTTTGCTTTCTTTGCTCTGCGCCTACTTAAGCTTCTCTTTACATTTTCCTTTCGACTCTTTTCACTCAAGTATTTCAAGTGTTTCCCCTTTGCTTTTTCAAGTTCTGAAAAATATTTGCACCATGGTTTGTTCTGAATGGGTCGCAATTGAAAATTGCCATTTAATAGAATAAAGCTAAGGGGAAGGGGAGAAAATAATGCTGGGAGAGCGAACTTTTGTGGGGGGGTTACAATGATATTATTTTTTATGCAACTCTTTTCGATCTCAGTTTATTGTTATGCGTTGCATTCTTTTTTACATCTGTTTTTACTAAAGGCTTGCAAATGTTTAAAAGAATATGGTGACACATTTTTAGAATTGCTTCTACAAATGCTAGTTTGTTATTACAGTGAAACTGTTACCAAAATCTTGTTGTTATTAAAATTTTTAAACGTTTTAGGTATACCAAAAACGGTTTAATAATTTTTAACCATTTTCTATATATTTTTTTTTTGGTTTTTTCATTTTTCTCAACTCTTACCACTGTGCATACACAACCAAGACTCTTGAAACTTTTGCTTCATTGAAATAGTTTTTCATTTACTTGCCTTTTGCTGAAATGTGCAACAAAGCAGAGGAGTGAGAAGAAACACCGGAAAGAAAGTCAGAAAAATAGATAAGTGAAAGGGGGGAAGGGGAGACTGAGAAATCTAGAATTCAATATGCAGCTACAGTGACCCCAATAAGTTGTCCACCAAGCAGTGGTCAGTCGGGAAGTGAAAACCGCAGCTGGTGCCGTTTAATGAGTAGCCCATCATCGGCAGGGACACACAATCCTGTGGATGTGAATTGTGGGTAAAAGGACACGCTAATTAGCTGGAAGTTTCTACACCACACTCCCCGCTTTTCCTTTTAAACCCATTTCAATTTGTCCCATTTTTTTTCCTTTCGCAGAATACAATAACGAGCCAAGCGGGACTGGAGCGTTGGCCGGCAGCTTCGATAAGTCGGTGCTGCAAATTTCCGACTGGCTGACTTGGGAACAAAACATGATCAAGATACAGAGCGTCCTCGTCGACGATGGCGATGCAGTGCGACTGGCCATCGAGAAGCAGGAGGTGCGCTGCATAAAACACACCCATCCTTTTCCACACCCACATTCGCATTCACTTTACTCATATCTTTCCCTCTGTTCACAGAAAGTTCTGCGTGAATTGAAAATGAAAAAGCCGCAGCTCAACGAGTTGGTTCATACGGCGGAAGTGCTCAAAGGCGACATCAAACGGCAGCAGTTGCAGGAGAAAGGTGAGTCCTTCGGTAAACTATGGGGTGCATATTATGTTGGGTTTCTTGGGATTCATACTGTGATTAGTTTAAATGGATTTAAAAATATTCATCTGAATTTACTGATTACATTTATGCCACAATTTGATTTACATTACAAAAGGTTTTCCTTATTTTGAATTCACTACAGTTTCTTGTGTTTGTAATCGAAATCTGGTTTGTAAAATGTAATATTGTTCGAATAGGCAATTAGCAAGTATTAATTAATATCCTGATTGATATTGATAAAGCCTAAGCTAAATTGATTTCAATCTTCTCCATTCGCAAGCGTATTTTCGAGTCTCAATTAATTTCGGAACGAATATGTGCAAATTGGCTGGCATATGGAAATTTCATTAGGCCTTGTTAGCCGTTCTCTGCCTGCCCGCCGCACGGGGATTGCAGATTGCTGATGGCTGTGGAACACGGTTCCATTTCCTTTCCCCAATCCCCCAAACCCAGAAATCACTTCGGTGCAAACAAATTTCCGCCGGGCGAGACAAAATGCATGCAAAGATATAAGGGCGCAATGGAAAAGCAGGAAGCGAGGAAAGCGGGAAGAGGGGAAGCGAGACATATGAGTTTTGTACTGAAAACAGCAACAGACACCAATGGATGGCCACTTAAAATTGCTAACTCAGTCGGAGGGGGAAGGAGGGAAATGTTTTCGAAGGGGCAGCGGGGAAAGGTTGCAATGTGGTTAGAAAGGGACTGTCAACATTTGCATAACGGGGCCGTGAACCTCGAAAGCCGGCGTTCCAATTCAAAAACTCCTCTTTAAATTGTCTGCCTTGAAACAATGTCACACACAAACACACACACACATACACCCGCATTGAAGTACTCACACACAAGCACCGGAGAAATGCAAAGACGATGGACAAAAGAGAGAGAAAAAGAGCGGACCGCGTGCTTGTTAAACAAATGATTGCATACTTTCAGGTCGTGGTGAGTTCTGCAGTTTGAGAGCCACTGTACTCACTTTAATATGAAAGTTGAGCAGGCGGCGCATGCAACATTTATTCCAGTTGACATTTTATTGACAAGCGGGGAAGCCGGCTGGTAAAAATGGAGAAAAGCATCCAGACCGGATGCTAACTGAAACATTTTTATGCTCTTCGGGATTGGGGCGGATTTTCAGGGGCTTGAAAGGTGGCCAAAAGGGGGCTGGAATTGGAGTGCACTGCTTGTTACACATTATTATGATGTTTGGTTTGTCATAAACATTTGTAACTTGTCCGCCACGTTCTCTCATCTCCTGGCTATTTGTACGTGCATTTCAGCCTTATTTATCCTGGTGTGTGTTCAGCTATATGAATGTGAGTATGTGTGTGTAGGTGGGGCTGGGGTGTAAAGGCATCTGTTTGGGCCTTTTGTAACAAAAATGGAGCCACAGTTGCTTGCATTTTTTCAGACTTGGCTTTGTGCTTTGCAGCTGCACATACTTATTGCCGTTGTTTGACTTTTAAAAATTTAATATTTGGAGGAACTTAGTCTGCGAGTAATGTAGAGAAAATCCAGTAAAATGTTCGAATTTTAAAGATTTAAATGTAACATGTTTAATTCATTCAATTAAATTAAATATTTATGTATAAAGTCCAAAAATGTTTTTTAAACTAAAATTCTAAAAGTGATATTTATATTTGTAGATACTTTTATCTTTATTTAATTTTTATGGTTTGCTTTGTAATTGTTTATTTTCTTTTAAATATTTAATAAAATCTGATAAATCAATTTAGTGCATAGTTTATGCACTAACTATTTTGAAACTATTAAAAATATTTCACAGTGAAACATTAATGCTTTTATTTTTAATATCCTGCTTGCCGTTATTGTTGTTTTAAGAACTTCCGTTGATGTAGAGTATCTTTAAGTTTTGAATGTTTTGAGTTCTTTGCCAGCTGCAATCGACTTTTGGCAAACAGCCAAACTGAAAGTATGACCATTAGTACGGCATTGTATTTCAATCTAGTTCTCAAAAACCGTTTAGGATTTCCAGGAAAACAGTTTATAGCCCGGCCTAGTTTATTATCTGTGAAAGGAGGTTGGGGAAGTAGCAGGAAATCAAGCAAAAAGCTCCAATTAATTACGTATTTTGTAGAGTGAAGCTTAATTAATCCATTATTCATTATCTCGTTCTCTGTTTGCTCCTTGCCTTTTTCTCCGTCTAGCTGCACCTTATTTTCGCTACTCCCGCCTCTTTTTTGGGGCCAGAAGTCGCACAAACTTTTCGCCAACCCAAGAGACCCCAAAGTCCTTATCATAAATAAAATGCCAACCCACACGGAGAGGGTGTGTGTATGTGTGTGTGTATCTGAGTTGAGGTTGGCTCGTAAATCTGTCTTTGACATGCAATTTCAGTGCAGCGGCTGTTGCTGCAACTTGGCCAACAAGCGGCAGCAGCAACAACAACAAAAACAACACCCACAATAGCAACAACAACAACAACAACAGCAACAACAACTCACTGGGAGCATATTATCTGAAAGGACAACGCACTCAGTTGGCCAGGCAGAGGCTCAGTGGCTTTCCGCCCACTTCATCCCCCATCCCCCCTTTGGGCACCCAAATTGCCTTTAATTGCAGCCTTTCGCCTGGCAAACGCCTTCAACTTTCCAACCCAGCCAACACCACCGCCCCCGTTTTCTTGTGTTTTGGCGCTACACACGCCCGCTTCACGCCATTACACGCTTTAATAGGCCTTGCCTCCCCAAAAAAGGCAGTACACCCCATCCTCCCATCGCCGCGAGAAGCCCCCTTCTTTATCTAAAGTTGGTTCTCCCTCCAGTGGGGCGCTTTCTTTCAATGGTTTGGCATAACTTCCTGGCATGTGTCTGCGCTTTCAAGAAGTTCGTTGCTTTCGATACTCTACTTTAAACTGACGGTTCTAATCGCTATCAGGGAACACTCTATAAAAAAATTAAGCTTAAAACCAAATGGTTTACGTATATAATCATGCATTTAAAATTTCAATTTCAATCGTACACCCAACATTCCTATTTTTTTTAGAGAGTAGTTTTGATTAGCTATATTTTTAATAGTGAAAGATAGTTTTACTTAATATTATAATGGATTTTCAAATTTGCATATACTAACGTATTATAATTTAAATTTTTTAAAAACTGTAATTTGTCAACGTGATTTTCAAATCTAGAATGTGGGAGATATAATTTTTTTTTTAAATACTTATGTAAAACTATCCAATGATCTACAATTTTTGTCATACATTTATTTAATTTAAATGGATATTAACAAAAAGTCTAGGTTTATTTTTTTGTGCATTCTTCTTCTTAAATAGGGTATATAAAAGTCGCTGTTCCTTGTTAGTAAACTTTCCGCGTCTTGTTTCTTTTTTTTAATTACTCAAAAAAGTGAAGTGAAGCAGAGTCTCTCCTATGGCTGCTTAACCTCAGAGCTTTTGTGACGCAAAGGCGACCCGCTTCAACCCCTTCACCCCCTTAAACCTCGTTCACTGCTTTGGGATTTTAGTAAGCATTAAGTGAAATTATTGTCATGGTTGTTAGACTTTTAGCTTCGGCTTTTGAGTCCTTTTTAGGCCGGTAAGTTATGTTCGCTAAAATAGTTTTGCGCACGAACAAATTTTTTTGTGCAACGAGGGTATGCGGAAAATTTGTCTAAACACTGCAGGTTATAGGTGCCACTGGGAAACTTTTAAAAGTGTGTTCGGTTGCGTGTGTGCCGTTGTTTGTTTGTGCGTGTTTGTGTCACCCAGAATGCCCTTGGGTGTCCTGGAATATCTTACCCGGTCTGCTCTTGGGGCCAAGCCAAGTTGTGTGGCTCCTCTTTCAGCTGCAGCAAAAATAAAATTCCAGCTCTCAACTGCAAAAAAGGAAAGCCAAAAGGATGCACGGAGAAAGGGGAGGGTAAAGAGGGGAGAGGGGAGAAAGGTGCGGACCCATGCACTCACTCATTACGCAAATTGTCCTGGGCGAGCACTACGTGTCCTGTTCCTGGTCCTCTGTCTGGCTTTTTATCTCTGGGCATCTCACATGACCGAAATGTCGTTAACAATTTTCGTTGTCTAATGAATTTTAATTAAATTCATTAAAAAGGTTGCACTTGTTGTCTCTCTGAGGACATAACAATGAAGTTGTGGCTTCTTCAGACTCATTCACGCCGCAAGGAATTTGCATTTTTATAAAGATTTATGAATATTTAAAGAGATTTCTTTGTGGGTTTTTGCCATGAACAAACGAGACGTTCACAATTCCATGTTTTTAATTAAAAAATGTTGCGGCTTAGTAAAACTAGCACATTTTAATAGCAGAAAATTATGTTTACAAATTGTTCAACTTATTTAAAGCCTGCATTTGCAATTTAATTGCAGATTAATAATTAGCCTCATATCTAGCACACTTTCAAAACCTTTTGTGCTTGCTTGCTAACATCCTTTCATCAACTAATTTCTTGGCCGACAATCTCATAAATGGCTGTCTTATCATTCGACTGCCATCCCACATTTCCCTCTCATATTTTTCTTCAACTAATTAAGGCCAATGCACACTAAGCATTTTTCTCGGCAGCGCAACCTATAAAGGAAAATCTACATCTAAAGCCACAATAACATAAACATCAAATTCCATCAATGGCGCAACGAACCGCTCAATCTGCTCTTTCTCCCCATCTCTTTCCCTCTGCATATATCCCTCTCTTTCAGTTAGAGGGTGCTGCTGCAACCCTGTGCAAAATAATCCTTATCAGTTGTCAAGGTTCAAGACGTACGCACAACATGTGGCAGGAAGGTTGAATGTCTTCCGGCTAAATCGCATCGCAATGCGCATGTCCCCCACAAAACTCTAGCAAAACAAATGCCAGTGGATCCGGAGAGCGTTCTGAGAAATCCGACGGAATGCCGGTGAACTTAATATACAGAGAACACCGCAGAAGTGGGGAGAAAGTTTGGCTAAGAGAGTTCAATTGGGTGGTGGGTGTAAGCACTTCTCGAAAACATTTTCAAGAAC